TACAAATGACATCACCACCATCATCATCTCACCATCGATCGAAATGAGTCATCCTTAGGAAAATTCATTTCACATTCCAGCTATTGAAGAACGGTACAACATCACACAGCTTCCTTTATACACACACACACACACACACACACACACACACACACACACACACACACACACACACACACACACATACATACATACATGCATACATACATACATGACAAGTGTTGAAAATGAAGTTGGTTCAATGCATAGCGCCGATGATTTTAAAAAATTTTTTACTGACAAGTTGAAAGTGACCGAAAAGTCAACTGAATGTTTTAATTTTCCAGTAATTTCTACTAATACTAATATTATGTTTCCACTCGAATCGTTTCCAGTGTTGACTGAAGAACAGATATCTAAAGTTGTTAATTCGTCACCTACGAAGTCATGCTCACTCGACCCAATGCCGACGCATGTATTCAAAGAATATGCTGACTGCTTTGTTGTTTACTTAACGGACTTAATCAACAGGTGCTTAACGAAGGGTGTAATGCCTGAGGTTTGCAAGCATGCAATTGTCACGCCAATTCTAAAGAAGACAGGATTAGATAAATCAGATCTGATAAACTATAGGCCGGTGTCAAATTTGTCTTTTGTTTCTAAAATTATAGAACGTTCCGCTGAGTTAGTTTTAAATAATCATATAAATAAAAATGGTATTTGGCCTTTGCATCAATCTGGATACAGAAGGTTTCATTCGACCGAAACAGCTCTATTGGATATATTCTCTCATGTTTATTCAGCAGTTAATGTACAAAAAGTAACTTTGTTGACATTCCTGGACATGAGTTCGGCGTTCGATACTGTGAATTATAAAATCCTGCTGGACAGACTGAAATATTGTTATGGTTTAAATAAGATTGCGTTAACGTGGTTCGAATCATTTCTTACTGGTCGGACTCAGCAGATTTCTTACTCAGGTGGTCTCTCGGAACCAATGAAACTTACAACAGGGGTGCCTCGAGGATCTGTTCTTGGACCGATCCTTTTTAATTTGTACGTTGCAGAGATATTGGATTTACTGAATAAAGATGGTTATTATTGCCATGGGTACGCAGATGACATGCAGATTTGCGTTTCATGTTTCCCAGATGAGATGCCTACCGTATTAGAGAAACTGACAAAAACTATATCTGATGTCGGCTCGTGGCTGGGTCAAAGTAGCTTAAAGTTGAATCAGATTAAGACTCAGTTCATGTTGGCTGGTACATGGCAACAAACGTCTGCGGTTGAACCTTCATCGATTAACATCAGCATGACTGATATAAGTTTCAGTAAAACGGTTATCAATTTGGGAATTGTGATGGACTCCGTATGACAATGGGTCCACAAGTCAGTCTATTGGTTACAAAATGTATGTTCCAACTACGTCAACTACGTCAAGTCACAAAATCGGTAGATAGAGATACAATGACTCTATTAGTACATGCTTTCGTCAACTCTAGATTGGATTATTGTAACAGTCTTCTATATGGCATAGCTGATAAACTGTTTTCTAAACATCAGATGATTCAGAATCAGGCTGCTAGAATGATATATCGCAAATTAAAATTTGATCATGCATCACCAATTCTGAAGGAGTTGCATGGCTGCGTGTTAAACAAAAAATAATGTTCAAGTTGGGTGTAATGGTATTTAAAAGTTTCAATTGTCTGGCTCCGAAATATTTAGAAGATAAGTGTATTCGAGTTTCATCCATGTCATCACATGGGCGTCTAAGGTCTGCTGATTCAAACACGCTGTATGTTAGAGATCGGAATCTGAAAACAGCAGATAGAGATTTTGCAGTTGCTGGGCCTATTTTTTGGAACAGCCTACCTATTGAACTACGTATATCCGGGTTATCATTAGCTGAGTTTAGAAAACGTCTAAAGACATACCTATTTGGTAACTCCTAGTGATCTCAACCGATGATGGCTTCGCTTTCAACATGCTTCATACGAGGAGAGCGCTGATGAGAAGCAATTATAATTGGCGCTATATAAATACAATATTTGATTTGATTTGATACATACATACATACATACATACATACATACATACATACATACATACATACATACATACATACGATAATACAGCTGTATTCTACTTCACTGTACAGTACAATGTACATGTTTCACATTAAACAACAAACGTCTTTCAAATCATCAAGGTTTTCTGCATCTTATAAAGAAAATGCATTTAAAATGTTAACATTTCAATATCATAGGAATTTAAGTACGAGACACAAGTAAACTTAGAATAAAAGATGCGCAAAGATTACACCTAGATTAACATCTAATATTCCTTATTCAAACTCCGAAACATGTAAACTGTATTGAACTACGCATACACACGTGTACACACACACACAACACACACACACATACACACACACACATATGTATACACAAAACATTGTACAGATAATTTCTAAAGACTAAGTAAAAGCTATAAACAGCATTGTTCAAACGTCAATGACCAGTTGAGAAGAAGATGTGTCATTTTCTAATTGGTCATCCTTTGTTTTATCTTCATTCCCATTGGTTGTTGCTTTTTCATCGATAGTTAGAGCTGAGGTTATGACGGGGCTCGGTACCTCCCCTTCTGTGTCCTCATCATCATAATTTATGTCTTCCTCATCTTCGTCGTCGTTTTCATCGTTCGGCATGATGTTGATGAGATTTTTAGAGAGTAAACCATCGTTATCTTCAAAGTTGCCATTATAATTAAAACTGGAAAACATTTCCTCGTTAGCCTTTTCATCCTTCACGATGCACATGTCGGTGTTGTTGGTACCGTTTCTCACGTTCTCAGCAGAGAAAATATTTTTGTTGTCATGATTTTCAGCTTGAGTGTCATCGTTATTAGTACCGTCAGCCAGTTTGGAGTTTAGATTAATGACACTGGGATCGAACAAGTTTGTATTGATGAGGGGCTTCACGACTAAGTTTACCGGTACGCAAGGGGATGTGTTGCTGTCGATGTTGTTGCTGACGTTGTCAACGGCGTTGATGTTGTTATTGGTGTTGTTGGTAGTGGTGTTGTTGTTCGCATAATACTTGCAACGTCTTATGTGCTTGTCCAGTGTATTTTGCAGTGAGAATGGAGTGTTGCAGTGTGGGCACCTGCGTGGTGGTGGTGGTGATAGTGGTTGTTCTTTTGTTGAAAATATTAATTAGAACCATGAATTTATCAAAATATATTGAAAAGAATTCTAAAATTGGAAATGTTAAAATAGCATTGTTGTAAATATACAACAACATCAATTACACACCGACAACAACGCTGTTGACAACGACAGCAACAGCATATACTGTATATATTACTGTTTACAAAATTTGGTCTCAAAGTTTACTAATGTAATTGTCGTAATTATTATCTTTATTATTATCACTATTATTATGCAATATTCGTGTACTAAATTCTTGTTAAACTCATTGTTAAACTCTTTTTTTATTCTCGTTAGGTCCTCTTTTGTTAATTCATGTTTGAAAACATAAGATCTAGCCTACATTCAACAAGCCAGTAGTTTAAATTAATAAAATGTATGAAATGCAAACGACTATTAGACTTAGACAGATTATATGGCAAAATTATAACAACAATAATAGCAATAGTAATAATAATAATAATAATAACAACAACAACCTGTAGAGAGTCCCGGTAACGCCATTAGCAGTGAGGTTACCATGGGTCTTCATGTGCCTGGTCAGTTTGCTGGACTGCGCACATGCGTATGGACAGATGGTGCACTTGTAAGGTTTCTCCCCTGTGTGAGACCTCCTGTGCACAGTCAGGTTGCTACAGTTCTTGAAGACCTGGATGGAATTTTTTAATTTGTTTGGTTGGCTGGTTGGTTGATTGACTGATTGATTGATCTCGTTGACTGATTGGTCTTTAAACAGATTATATAAGCAACTGATTGGATGATTGGCCAGTATAGTGGTTGATGAAACAATGATATTGTATAAAATTATCGTCTGGTACCTTAATTATAATTAAACTCAATTAAGCGCTATTTGGGTTTCGTTTGCAAAATGGTTCAAAGTGGTACCATCTTCTAAAAGTTCAAAAAGTCACGCACAAAAATGCAAAATCTCAAAGTCCTTCAACTTTTGTAATTAACTGAAAAATATACAAAATTAAAATCTTGTAAGGAGTTTTGTACGCAATTAACATTATCGTCGTCATCAGCATCATCATCGTCATCCTCCTCCTAACCATCATTTTCGTCATCATTTTCTTCATCTTCATCATTATTATGTACATTATGGGAAAATATCGAAGAAGACTTGACAAGAACACAAAGTCTAAGCAAGCATACCCTGGACCGTTTCAAGCATTTCATGTTTTGAGAATATACATACAGTGCCGGCACCCTTCCTACCCCCGTAACCACACTGTTTTTATGCTAATGAACCAATAATGAAATTGTGCTTCATGAAATGATATCCTTTTTATAAAATTATAATTAAGTGTAATTAAAAATTTATTTGTAACAAACAAGAGGTTGAAAGTTAAAGTTGAAACATCGCCTACCTTCCCGCAGTATTCACACGTATCATTTCTCTTCCTCTGCACTTGTGGAAGTTTGATCTGGAGAGGATTGCTGCTGTTAGATGTCGACGCAACAATGTTGTTGTTGTTGTTGAATGTTGACGCAACAATGTTGTTGTTGTTGTTGTACGACGTAAGGCCAGCAATCTTGTTAGTGTTGTTGTTCTCGGTCTTGAAGGTCGTTGTAACAGGAAACATGATCTTCCTGTGGTCCGATGGAGCAGAGTTGTTCAGCAGATTGCACGGCGGGTTGAATGATAGCGTCAGGCAGCCAGCTGACAGACTGCTCGAGATTGTTGGCAGGGGGAAAGGAAACGTGATGCTGTTTGTAGCTGATGAACTGGTTGTCGTTGTCAGGAAGAGTGCTGTCGTTGTGGTAGCTGTGTTGTTGTTGTTGCTTGAGTCTTGTTTGGGGTTCAACAGCAATCGACTGATTTGTTGCTGCTGCTGTTTTTGTTGTTGGGAAAAGTTCGCATTGAGTGGGAAGGGAAGAATGAAGGAAGGGTTGGAAAGAAGAGATCTTGCTAACAAATTGGCGTTGTTGTGGCTCGATAGGATGCTGTTCAGTGAGGAGGGTACGTTGGAAACGTTGCTGCTGCTACTGCTGCTGTTGTTGCTGCTGCTGCTGATGTTAATTAAGTTGTTGTTGGTGTTGCACAAACCTTCTAACTCTTTTTTAACGATATTAGTTATTTTGTTGGTTGACAACATATTGTTATTGGTGATGTTTGTGTTGTTGTTATTGTTGCTTGATGTATCATTGAGAAGGTCGAGTGTTCTTTCATTACGTTTATTGGCCAGCAATGCTGAAACAAATTTAGCAGAAGATACACCTCTGATGTTGTTCTGTTGTTGTTGCAAACTGATATTTTGTTGATTGCTGGTGAGATTGTTGTTGCTTGATTTAAAATTTGCTGATGTTTTTGACAAATCAGTGGGCTGCTCATCTGGGACCCAGCTAAAATTATTGCTAAGGTTGTTGTTGTTGTTTTGACCATGCAAAGATAAATTTTCAGCATTTTGATTTGATAGCAAGGATTCACTGAATGTACTGTCATGTTTTTTATTCTTTTTTAACGTAGTGAAATCTTCTGGCCGGTTGTTGTTGTTGGTCATGGATTTGTTCAACAGATTATAATGTTGCTGCTGTTGTTGGTGGTGGTTGCAGTTGTTGTTGGTTTTTGTGTGGGCAATATTGTTGATGTTATTATTGACATTGTTGGAGTTGCTGGGAACGTTGGCTGTCTTGTTGAGAGTAAAGTGTTCATGGAGCTCCTTGCGATGTGACGGGTGGTTGGCATACAAGTGTACGAAATATTGATCTTTGGTCAGTCTCTCGGAACAAACTGGACAAGATATTGTGGTCACTAGAGGGCGTGATGATAATGATGATGGTCTGTGTGTGTGTCTGTGTATGCTTATGTACAAGTATGTATTGTACATATTCATGAGTTTAAGAGTATAATTTGCTGTGTCTCTTAATATATATATATATATATATATATATATATATATATATATATATATATATATATATATATATATATATGTCCATGCTGTATATATTTGTATGTGTTGTTAAATACGTGAGCTTAGACAGTGTAGAAATATACATGTATGTGTGTGTGTATGTGTGAGTGTAATTATGTCTGTGTTTGTGTGTGTGTACAAATTTAATATGTAAATATGTATGTATACATACTGCTTGTATGTACGTTAGTTATGCTGTACAACAGTACACTCATGTAGTGTTTAATAATAGCAGCTTGAAAAAACATGGCTTTGTGTTAGCTGTTAGGGTCACTTAGAATGTAATTATGTAGTATGTATGTGTGTATGTATGCATGTATTTATGTATGTATGCATGTATATATGTATGTATATAAAATTGTGTGAATTGTATATAGGTCAAATTGTATATAGGTCAAATTGTATATAGGTCAAATTGTATGTGAATGAATATGTTTCTATATGTATGCAAGTATAATCGGTGCATGGTGGGAAAAATCAGTGAACTTTTATGATAATTGTTTAATTAATGACTAATTAATGAATCTCAACGACTGTTAATTAACAATAATGATGATGACAACGACGACGATGATGATGCTACAGATGATGATGCTACAGATGATGATGCTACAGATGATGATGCTACAGATGATGATGCTACAGATGATGATGATGAGAGTAGATAGCTTGCAAAAGACAAAATAATGAGATAAATTACATTTTTATCTCAAACCATCCTAATATATCATTCACTAATTATGTTTTACTTTCTTACAATAGTAAAAATAAAAATAATAATAATAATACAAGACGATGATACAATGATACAAGTACTCTCAATGATACAAACACTCCAGGACGAAGATGATGACGATGGCGATATGATATGAAATGATGATGAAGATGATGATACAACAACGTGTTGGTGATGATGACGTGTTGGTGATTATCAACAAAGATCAGCAGTAGTAGTAGCAGAGTAGTAGAGCAAGCTAGTTAGTAGTTGGTTACACGTAGTTGTTTATGACATATGTGGACCAGGATGACTGCTAGAAAATAAAATGTACGCAGCAGCCAGAGAGAGAGAGAGAGAGAGAGAGAGAGAGAGAGAGAGAGAGAGAGAGAGAGAGAGAGAGAGAGAGAGAGAGAGAGAGAGAGAGAAATGAAATAATAACAAAGGGTGAAAAATAGAGAAAAATAAATAAAATGATGACCAAATCACAGTAAGAAAGTTGATAATGATGAAACATTTAATGAGATTGAGTAGATGGAGATAGAGTTAGAAGAGAGAAAGAGAGAGAGAGAGAGAGAGAGAGAGAGAGAGAGAGAGAGAGAAATAGAAAAATATAGAAAGATGAGTATGAAGAGAGAAATACAAAAAAAGAATGAAAGTAAATTTGTCCCAAAGTATAAAAAAGAAAGTGAAGAAGAATGAGGAGAAAGTGGGTGAGGGAAAGAGAGAGAGAGAGAGAGAGAAATAGAGAGAGAGAGAAATAGAGAGAGAGAAATAGAGAGAGAGAGAGAAATAGAGAGAGAGAGAGAGAAATAGAGAGAGAGAGTGAGTAGATATGATGAGATGATAAAAATTGTAAAGTGGTAAACTAACGACTATGTTGATATTGTTGTTGTTGTACACTGTTCTGTTGTTGATGATGATTGGATGATAGAGATGACACTGAAGACGAGGAGGCTGATAGAAGTGACGATGACGACGACGACGAAGATGACTCTAGCTTTTTTGCTAAGTTTATTAGTTTTTGAGTGAACAAATTGTTATCGTCATCTTTATTGTTATTATTATTATTATTACTATTATTATTATTAATATTATTATTATTATTAATCGAATTATGGTTATTATTGTTGAAATTATTTGATGATGATGCTTCATAGTCATGCTCTAATTTTCTTCTCTTCAGCGGGCTGACATTCTCACCCTCATTATCATCATCATCATCATCATCATCCGCGACGTCATCACCACCATCATCGGCGACGTCATCATCGTTATCTTCGTCACCATCATTATTCGCCATGTCCATATTATCATCATCATCACCACCGTTAAAATTACAAATGTAATTTGACTGACTAGTCACCAGTACACAACTATTATCATCATCGCCGTAAACGTTATCATCATCATCATTACCATCGTTATCGTCATCATTTTTATATTTGTTAAAGCCATCATCATCATCTCCATTACTGACGACGTCCTTTGAACCGACCCTGTTTAACCAGCCTGGCCTACATAATCGAACTTTGTGTACTTTTTCAATGTGAGCCACTAGGCTTCCAGCGTTCGTGAATGGCGCTTGACAGTTGATGCAGATTAATATCCGCCTATCTGTAGTAGTAAGGTAATTAACATAATTTATGCAAAAATCATTATGCATGTAGAAAAGTATGAACGTGCTGAGATAGGCAGAAAGGCGAATGATGTAAATATAAAATTTTTGATGGTGAGTTAGTTTTGTTCGTGTTACTTCGTGTTATCTGCCTACACAACACAAGTAGAGCAGCCACTGTCTAATTTATGATGAAGCAACTTACTGTATTGTTGTGTTTGTACAACATACATCAATGTGTATCGTTGAAGTTAATGATAATTATATTAACTTCAACAAAAAGATGATGCTCTCGTACTTATTCAACTGTCCAACAGTTATAAGAAAAATTAAATGAAAAAATAAATTGTTGTCTTTTAGAAAGCACCATGATAAAAAAAAACTTTTGAATCTAGCGACATATCAAACGTTAAAAATTATAAAACAGAGAGCAGGGTGATTGCTAAGAAGCGGACAAACATTTAAGAAGCTGATTCACTGGAGATCTCCAAGAGGTCACGGATTACGAAACAAGCCATGTACTGTAAAACGTACAACCGTGCCGCATAGCATACTCTATATAAAAATTTGCCGGTGTCAAAACTCTACACAGCTTTACCTAACGGAGCACTTTACATTGGTCCGATGTCAAAAATTAAACTATGAACTCGTGTCGCACGCGTATGTAGAAATAAAAAATATAAAATAACCTTTGGCATCGTGCTGGATGCTGTTGTTGCGGTGGTATCGAAACTGCTGCCTGGCGACCAGGCGACAATTTGCAACTTTGTGTTCGATGAAATCTGTGATGTCTCTCAACAAAAATGTCGATTTACACCTTCCACATGTTAAGTAATCTTGCTTCGTTGTCGTCTTCAATTTTTTCTTAGGTTTCTTGTTAACTTTGTTGTTGTTGCTGCTGTTGTTGTTGCGGGTAATGCTGTGAGTATTAGTTGTGTTGTTGTTGTTGTCACCGATGTTGTTGATGTTTTTAGCAACACCGCAATTGATCTTATGGCTGTCTTCGTCTCTGTTAGAATCCTTTATAACGCTCTCAAAGTTTACGATTTCAATATCAGCATCTCTACTGCTGATTGAATAGTCGGCAATGACATTAACATCATCGATGTTGTTGTTGTTGTCTGCAACATCGTTTGCTGTGTCACATGACGCTGTGTTGTTGTTGTTCGTGGTGTTTAAAGTGTCGTCGTTGTCATTGCAGCTGACCACAGCTTCTGCTGCTACATTGTTAGGTTTGTTGTTGTTGAAGTTTTCGATGATAAGGTTGTTGTCATCGTTATTGTTATCATTGTTGTTGTTAACTGTGTCATTATTATTGTCGTTACTATTGTTATTATTGTTACTGTTGTTGTTGTTATTGTTACTGCTGTTGCTATTGTTGTTGTTAACTACGTCATCGACACTGTTGCTAGTGTTAGTTTCATCTGTTAGGTCATCATTTAAGTCACATTCGTTATCACTGCTGCATTCCGCTTCATTATCTTTTTCGGGGTCGTCTGCAAAAATGTGACAAAAAACAGTAAGTAAATAATGATCATCTTCAATTATTATTATCATCCTCTGTTAGATGATTAATTAGTGAGAAGCCAGTATCGAGTTACTCATTATCATCATCATCATCATTTTCCTCATCTTCATCATCACTACCTACCAACATCATCACTACAAATAGTCGAACAGGAGCTGCCATCGTCACATCCTTATAACAAGCACAACATTATTAAGTGTAATTTAATCGATAAGATCAATTTACTCATATGATTAAAACTAGTAATATATGTTACTGTACATGTGTGTGTGTGTGTGCGTGTGTGTGTACGTGTGTGTATGACTATGATGATGAGTAATTCAATGAGGCAATTAAATTAAATCTAACATGAACCAAATGAGAAACTCAGTCTTTTATGAGTAACGTACAATTAATTAATTCAATAATAAATTAATAATGGCTACTTTATGAAAGCCTAACTGACCAACCAACCAAGCCAGCCAGCCAGCCAGCCAACCAAGCCAGCCAGCCAGCCAGCCAACCAGCCAGCCAACCAACCAACCAGACACAATTAATGAATGAGTGAGTGGGAGAGGGGTGATAAAACATTTACAACTTATCAAGTAACTCATGTGACCTTGGTTTTATATCACGCACACACGCGCGCACACAATAGTTTATATTTTTTAAACAAATTTATCACTCAAGAAAACACACACTCACACATACGCATGCGCGCACACACGCACACACACACAAGCATACGCGTATTTCCATTTTATTCATTCATTCATTTATTTATTTATTTGCGAAAAATTAATTTACCTATTCATTTCAATGAATTAAATAACGAAACAATAAAAATAATCAGAGAGGCCAGTTGAATAGAAAAATGTATTATAACGAAAAACATTTTACATTCAACTTACATTCACGTTCTTGTCATCGTCATCGTCACATCACCACATCATCATCGTCATCATCATCGTCATTATTATCGTCATCATCATTATCATCGTCAGCATTACCATAACTGCTACTTGCATAATCAATAACATGATCATCATCATCATCAACAATAACAACATCATCCTCAATATTAACGATATGCTACGTTCAAAAGTAAAATGCACATACCCTTAAAATCACGTCATCATCATCATTGACATCATTATCAATACTTTGATACAAAAATCCTCATCTTCATATCACACCATCATCATCACCATCTTCGTGTCGCACCACCATCACCACCATCGTCATCATCTTAAACATCATCATCATCATGACATCATCAAAACATCATAACATCATCAAAAGTTAAATAGAAATGATTATCAAGACCAAAACGTGATATAAAAGCCGAATGACCTATATATATATATATATATATATATATATATAACGCCACACGCACTCACACACGCACACAAACAGACACAGAGAAGGAGCTTTAAACAACAACAACAGAAAAAACTTCCATCCATCCAATTAACCAGCCAGCCAACCAACCAGCCAACCAAGTAACATTCATCCACTAAGTAAGGTCAAACTTCATCATTGCTTCTGATAACCTAAATAACAAATCTAAACAACAACCAGAAAAACAACAACAGCATAAATAATAACAACAACATAAATAACAACAGTAACTCAATACATAGCAGCATAAACAACAAAAACAACAGTCCAAATTAAAAAAGAGCAAACAAAAAAAATTACGTAAGCAAACATTTTTGTATGTTTGTATGTATGTATGTATGTACGTTTGTATGTATGTATGATGCCAGTAAGTATACATGCATGTATTTGTGAGCGTGTGTTTGTATGTATAAGTACGTATTTGTGCGTGAGTGTATGCAAAACGGAAACAACAACAACAACAATACAAGAGTGGAAAATTTTACAAAAACACTTACGTGCACGTGTATATGTATGTGTACATGTACGTGTATGTACGCGCAAGTGCATGTTAACGTATGTCTGCGCAAGTATATTATTATTATTATTGTTGTTTTTGTTATTATTATTATCATTAACAAGAATAGCAACAACCTCCACTGAATCAGGATTACCACCGGGGAAAAAAACAAAATTTATATTTCAGTTCAATATCACCCACACACATATGCGTTGGAAGATTGGGTGTGTGCGTGTTTGTGCGCGTGTGTGTGAGTGAGTGAGTAGAACGAATGGATAGATATGTGTGTGGTATGTATATGTGTATGCATGTGTGCATGTGTGTGTGTACAACTAATTATATTAGTAAGAGTCAAGACAGAAACAAAAAACAAACAAGACGTTAATAAAATTAGCAAAAACAGTAATAAAATTAAGGTTAGACGTACAAAAATTGCAAATAAAACTTTGTTAAGAAAAAAAACAACAACAATAATAATAATAACAATAATAATAATAATAATAATAATAATAACATCAACAACAACAGCTCAGTAAATGAACAAAAGAGAGAATAAATGAATGAATGATGATGCAAAAAGTTTTTTTTACATCCAAGCTGCTCCCACATTTGCTAGCCTTGGAGAATGCAATACATGCTTATCATCATTTAAACTTACTTTATATGTATGCATGTACTGTGTATATATGTGTGTGTATGCTTGTGTGTGTGTGTGTATGTATGTATGTGTGTATGTATGTTTGTATGTATGTATGTGTGAATATATGTACATATGTTTGTTTGTTTGTTTGATTGGTTGTTAGTTTCTTTGTATGTAAGTGTTCACGTATACAAACTTTTATTATATAACGTCCGCTTAACGCACTAGCCTGCACGTATGTAAGATATATATATATATATATATATATATACATATTTTATATATATATATATAGAGACATATATACATACATAGTTTATTAACAATGAGAGAAACAAAAAAAAGTTTAAAAGAAATATTGTGGGTAGGCCACCTTAAATCAATTTTACGAGAAGCGTACACAAGAAATATATAACAATAAAACACTTATATCTAGCATCACAATTGATATATTACAATTGAAAAATTCTTGTTAAGTCAAGATTTTATATCTCATAATGGAAAATAAACGTGGCCAAATTAGAACCAATTCTATAAAAAACTTAAAGTGAATTAAAATAAACAAAAGTAGATACAAAAGTAGATGGTGGTATCGGGATCAAGAAATGACAGCCGAGATCTTAGCTTGTTTTTGAATAGATGCAGTACTGTAATTTTTTTAATATTTCTGGGAGACAAGGTTATGCCAAATTTGAAGATGTGTGTCTTGTGTTTATATTGTTATAACCGTGCTACCGAACGCACTAGATTCTAGCGTATTCTAGAATGTTCTAGTGACTGGAGCATTCCAGAGTATACTGGAATCGGACCATCTGGAAAAATCTAGAAACGACGCTTGCGAAGACTATATAAGCGCACGTCGCAAGAGATTCGTGATTAGTGATATTCGTGAATAGTGATATTCGTGATTAGTGATATTCGCGATTAGTGAAATTCGTGATTTTGTGAATAGCGATTCGGTGAATTATTTAAAGCGATATTTGATTTGTTTGTTGACGTTGTCATAGCGATCGATTTTGAACGATTTAAAAGTTAATTGTTGCGTTAGTTTGAACTTACTGGAAATAAACGATTAGTTGATTTCTTCTGTAAATAAAGTTTAATAACTGTTTGGAATATTTTATTCAATCGAGGATTTTAACCCGTCTCATCGTAAATCGGTTACGATAGCGAGTATTATAACATTGGTGTCAGAAGTGGGATCTTCGACCAGCGAATTACTACTCATAGAATAAGAACACGATGTCAAAACTGTGTGGTTTGAACGTAGTTCAGCTACGAGAAGAACTACAGAAACGAAGCCTTGTCACAAGTGGCAACAAAGAAGTACTAGTAGCACGTCTGAGAGAAGCTCTCATTGACGAAGATAAGAACCCAGACGAATTCAAGGTTGATGATGCTGGTGAAGACAATAAAATTAGCACAGGCACGTTTACAAACGCTAAAATGATGGAACTTCTGCTTAGTATGTCAACTGAAATAAAACAACAGATCAAGGAACAGTCCGAACGACAGACAGAGGAGTTAAAACAGATCAAAGAACAGTCCGAACGACAGTCCGAACGACAGACAGAAGAGTTAAAACAACAGATCAAGGAACAGTCCGAACGACAGACAGAGGAGTTAAAACAGATCAAGGACCAGCTAAAACACGTAAAATTGGAAGTGGCAGAACAGATTGAAGAACAGTCAACAAGAATAGAAATGATCGAGCAGAAACTTGATCGTCAGACCGTTGAGGTAGATCACAAGATAGACAAATTGAAGCAAGAATTGGAGCAATCCAAAATACCGTTAGATCACGCATCCGGAAGAACTTTGAAGGTACCAGCATTTGACGGAGAGATGTCTTGGAACGTTTATAAAACCCAGTTCGAAGCAGCGGCAACTAGTAACTGTTGGAACGGAAAAGAACGAGCAACAGCACTGATACTGGCCCTGCGAGGTTCAACAGCAGAGGTTCTTCAGACGATTCCGGCGGAGAACCACTTCAACTATGAAGTTCTGGTTAGCGCGTTGGATTTACGTTATGGTGAAGAACACATGAAACAGATTTATCGGTCTCAGCTTAGAAACAGAACGCAACGATCTGGTGAATCCATTCAGCAGCTGGCACAAGATATCGAACGGTTGACATTGCTGTCGTATCCGACATCAGACCCCGAGCATAGAGACGAAACTGTCCTGGATACGTTTATCAAAGCCCTTCGTGATTAGGAACTCAAACAGTCCCTTCTCTTGTCAGATAAACGAAAACTCAAGGATGACGTTGCGCACAGTCTCACTTTTGAATCGGCAAAGCAAGCATCAAAAAGTGACGTACGTCTACGCCAAGTACACGAAGAATGCTCTTGCCAGAAGGTGGTTGTAAAACGCGAACCCCAACAGCATGGTGTACCCCAATGCTGGATTTGTGGTGAAAAAGGCCATCTACGTCGTGATTGTAAACACCGCCTAAAAGATAACTACTGCCGAAATTGCGCGACAAGATGGCGCAAAAGAAGAGAAGATGATCCTGTATCACGATCGGCCCCTTCTAACGAAGGGGCGGAAAACCAATAGGAGCCAACTTTGTGGGGCAGAGGTTGGCTAGTAGAATTGACGCCCCCAGTACCGTAATTAACGTTTCCAGATTACATCGAAATCGAAACGACCTATGGCTGAACGGAAAAGTTGATCAACGAGAATGTGTAATTACAGTCGAAACCGGAGCAACAAAATCGATTTTAAGGTCTGATTTGGTACCCAATTTAAGAAAGAGACTTCTAACAAATACATCCTTCGAACAGCTACCGGAGGAACAGCACCAGTCTATGGAAAGATTCTCCGTACTGTTCAGCTAGGCGACTTGTTATTCGAAGGTTCATTTTTAGTCGCGCATATCATCGACGAATGCATAATAGGTGTCGACTTTCTGACAAAATATGGGTTCAAAATTGACTTAGAAAAACGCATTCTTAGATGGAGAAATACAGAAGTGATAATGGGGGATAGCGACGAAAAATGCATTCGAGTGACAGTCGATTGTGACATAGAACTACCTCAATCATCTGAAAACATCGTATGGGGCAAGTTGAATTGCGATCCAAGGGGCCACCAGTTCTATTTGATGGAGCCAACCTCAACGACAAATGTACAGAACGCGGTCATTGGAAAATGCCTGGTAGAAGCGAACAAAAATGGTCTTATTCCTGTCAGAATAATGAATACCGCTAAACACACTATTAAAATTAAAAAAGGCGAGGAAATAGGTAATTGCCAATCAATAAATTTGGTGAAATCATTAGATATGGAGCAACAGGAAAAGGTTCTGCCAACTGACAAAGGTAGACTCAAAAAACTTACCAAAAATCTACTGGATGAACTCAATTTGTATCAAGAAGACCGTCTAAAAGCCGAGGCGTTGATTGCTGATTTTACAGAATACGTGGATAATCTTCGACAGCGATTAAACCATATCCACCGTTACGTACGCCTTAAAATTATGAAAAACACGGAGGTGGCCAAAACCAGATACGACTTGAAAGGAAGCAGTGGCGGTTTTGCTGTCGACGAGTTAGTTTGGCTGTACAACCCACAGCGAAAGAAAGGACGTTATCCAAAGCTCCAGCGAGGGTGGAAAGGACCTTATCAAGTCATCACCCGCTTGAATGACGTCGTCTACCGTATTCAGGAATATCGGAAGCCGAGAGCAAGAATGAAGATCGTTCATTTAGATAGACTGGCTCCGTACCATGCGGACACCGGAACGAAAGCTGTTCGGGACGAACAGAACTAAGAAGGGGGTAATGTTATAACCGTGCTACCGAACGCACTAGATTCTAGCGTATTCTAGAATGTTCTAGTGACTGGAGCATTCTAGAGTATACTGGAATCGGACCATCTGGAAGAATCTAGAAACGACGCTTGCGAAGAGTATATAAGCGCACGTCGCAAGAGATTCGGGATTAGTGATATTCGTGATTAGTGATATTCGTGATTAGTGATATTCGTGATTAGTGATATTCGTGATTAGTGATATTCGTGATTAGTGATATTCGTGATTAGTGATATTCGTGATTAGTGATATTCGTGATTAGTGATATTCGTGATTAGTGATATTCGTGATTAGTGATATTCGTGATTAGTGATATTCGTGATTAGTGATATTCGTGATTAGTGATATTCGTGATTAGTGATATTCGTGAATAGTGATATTCGTGATTAGTGATATTCGCGATTAGTGAAATTCGTGATTTTGTGAATAGCGATTCGGTGAATTATTTAAAGCGATATTTGATTTATTTGTTGACGTTGTCATAGCGATCGATTTTGAACGATTTAAAAGTTAATTGTTGCGTTAGTTTGAACTTACTGGAAATAAACGATTAGTTGATTTCTTCTGTAAATAAAGTTTAATAACTGTTTGGAATATTTTATTCAATCGAGGATTTTAACCCGTCTCATCGTAAATCGGTTACGATAGCGAGTATTATAACAATATCGTTAGTTTAAACGGATTCACTGTAAATATAAAAGTTAGAGAAAGTAGATTGGAGTAAATTGTTTAAAAATTTGTGGACAAAGATAGACGAAAAATAAATGTAAACATCTTTTTGTCAAAGCTTGCTCGTGCTAATGTTTTCTCCATTCATTGCATTGCCTTAGTATTTTGCTACGCAATGTACTGCAATAATCGTCAGCGCCTCTGAGATCTTTTTAAAGGGCGCTTACAAACAAACACACCAATAATAACAATAATAACAGTAGCCCTATTGAAGAAGAAAAGTATATATCGGCCAGATGGCAGGGTTGACCAGTTTGAGATGGTGTACTTTTGTCCTCATACTGGCCAACTGTACTTGCGGGCGCAGGTCGGGGAAATTCCTACCCCATATATATATACATACATATATACATATATATATATATATAAATTTGTGTGTAGGTATATATAAATCGAAATAGGACCTATACGCTTCACCATGAGCACCAACGATTTTATATATGTATATATATATAAATATATATATACATTTTGAGTGCAAGCATACTAGCATGAACACTAACAACATAGTCAGTTGAATGAAATAGGTTGGTTTCTTGCATAATTTTACATCATATTGTACAGCCGATAACAACAGTAGGCTAAGTTTGTTTGTTGGTCTGATGGTCTGAGTGTAAGTACGTATGTATGTATGTATTTATGTTTGTATGTGTGTATGATTGCGTGTGCATATATAAGTATGCATGCGTTTATAGGTTAGAATTAATAATGCGTATGATTGTGAATAAATATATTTTTAATGGTTTTTCAAGAAAGTTGTAGAGAGTGTCGGTGTGTGCACGGACATGTTCATCTTTGCATGGACGTGCCGGCCTCAAACTGTTTGTAAATATACAAGCAGCGATAAATTTTATATTACAGCCATGAACTTTTTTTGTATGCTTGTGCAATATAATATAACATACGCGGGAGTCTGGGCAAAAATTACCATACAACTTCACTTAAAAAAATTACTTTTCTTCAAAAACTATTACGCATAATATTTTTTATCACAAGTGAAAACGTGCAGTTTAAACACATCCGCTTCATTCCGTTGCATAAGTTACCAGCACTGCTATAATACATACATACATACCAGGAATGTTGTAAAAATATGAGATGAGACCTTTCAACTCTGACTTTTCAAGGTTTCAGGCTGGCCGCGTGCATGGTAACATCTATTGATATATATTTACAAATCTCACAAGAGATATGCTCCATAATGTGTTTCATATCATATGCATGTTTCTGTTTGAATGTGTTGTGTATAAATTGAAAAATTGAATTGCCGTGTTTGCGTGTATGTATGCGTGTATGCATGCGTATGTGTGCGTATGCCTGCGTATGTATTTATTTATCTTTAAACACATGTGGAAGAAGTAACTCGTAATTTACTGGACATCATAAAAGTTGATACGATCATTTTTGTCAATTTGTTATTATCCTTTTATCATCATCATACTATAATTAATATCATTTATTAATCAAATGGCATATAATAACCTTATTATTATTATTATCATATTATTATTTTCAAGGACTCCAACGCTACCTTCACCTCATACGTATGTTATTACCAGGCATGGAATGGATGAAAATATACACGTGCATAACATGCGATACGTAAGGGTGTTATGTTTTTATTTTTACGAGCCGATGAATTATAAAGATATATTTTACATGGATATATCATTAATTTTAAGTTTAAGTCGTGTTATTTACCAATCAATAGATGATGAATCATTCCATACGAATTCAGATTGTTTTTGATTTTTAAATATTTTAATTCAATAAGAAAACATTGAAAATTGCAGAACCAATTTTCTGATTTGCAAACGGAAAGGTTTATTACGCGAAACATAGAATAGAATGAACCGCAGTTAAGTCTCCAACGTGGCAAATGTTTGGTTCCACAGTTTTATTTTTTAAGAGAACTCAGTACACCACATCAGAAGATATCAATGTCTGAAAATGGGAAATATAAAAGTTTTTCTGAGTGCAGATGTCTGCTGTCTTAGTTCGAAAACGCATGAAAACTTATATTACGTTTGTATTTCTTACTCATAGAAAAACTCAAAAATCAACATCTAGAATAGTTTTTATTCGATTAATTCAAGATGAATTAATTTTTTTGAAAGCTATCAAAAGTCTCTACCAGACAGTAGAATGAACGTTAACGACTTCTGCTATTGAAAAACTTGCTTCGTCCAAACTAAACTACATGATATCTTAAGGAGAACGATTTTTAATTGTGAATACACAATCATCACAATACGATCAATTTCACAAATTGCCTTCAACCATAATGCTTCCCACTCGTACGTTCGCATGCAAACAAATATATAAACATACGTGATAACACACACGCACACACATTATTTTTGAACATTTTGAACTGCAAACGGAGTAAATGCTGGTTAGTTATACACAGTTCTGCTTCCAGCATGTCAGGTTTAAAGGTTGCTGAGATACACATAAATTGAACTATAGTAGCAGTTAATTCGTCTTAATTCATTTAGTATTTAACGTTGTTTCTCGTCTGATGATCATTTTTATTACCATCATCATCGTGTTATCACTGATGTTGTCACCATCACCGTATTATAATTAATGTCGTCGTCGTCATCATCGTATGCAAATTAGTCACATCACCAAAACTGTCAAACGACTACACTTAAAGTATAAATAAATAGTAAATCGAAACATCATTGTGCCGCTTGTCTTTGTTAGTGGGATTCCATATAAATGTGAAACTGTTGTTGTTGTTGTTATTAATCTTATTATTATTATTATTGTTGTTGTTGTTGGTATTAACATTGTTGTTTTTGTTACTCTTACCGGTTGTTCTTATTCTTAGTTTTGTTCGTTACGTCATCACCGTTTCTCTTCATTTTGTAACTGTGCTTGGCATTATCTTATTTTCGGTACGAATGTAACAAAACTTGTTAGAAAAGGAATGCATTTCTTCCTTCCTTCCTTCATTCGTTTTTTTCTTTATTCATTCTTTCAATTATTCCTTTCTTCTTTCATTTATTCACTCACTCGCTTACTGCTATCGGCTGGAAATAATTGCCCTTATAAAAATACACAGAAAACTTCCTCAGATGTTTCAACAGAAAATGAGTACATACATACATAGACGTACATAGACATACATAGACATACAAGTATGCATACACACACACACACACACAGACACACACACACATACATACATGCACACATACATACATACATATACAAAAATATATACATAGACATATATAGACATACATTCACACAAAAATATGGAATTGCCATATTATCCATTTATCAGGTTATTTGCTATCAACCTATTATCATCGCCATCATCATCATTATTTTAGTATCATCATCGTTATCATATCACACTACAAATTATGCTGGTAAGTATGTTTAAATTAGAGCTGAGATTTTACAAGAATCATCTAGAATTTTCAATATCATCATCGTCATCATCACCATCCTCACTATCATCATCATCATCATCATCTTATACAATTCGAAATGATAACAATGATTAAGAAAACATCAGCAACAGCAATAAATAATAACAGCAACAACATAACCTTAATAAAAAATTAAAAAAACTACCCAAGAAAAGACCACGATGATAATGATGATATCACCACCACCACCATCATCATCATCATCATCATCAACTTCATAGTCACCATCATAATCATAATCATCGTACCTGCGACCATAATGATCATCATCGCTCCCATCATCGTCGTCATCAACTTCGCCATAGCAACTATGCCTACCTCATCAACGGAACAGAACAGTGCAGTGGCCAAACACTGTACAATATATATATATATATATATATATATATATAAGTGTATATGTATATACGTATGTATATATACAATACACGTGTACGTATGTATACATACAATACACGTGTGAACATATAGGAACATGCAAAAGTGCGTACGTACGAATGCACCTCTGTCCCACCTGTATTGATTAATATCTGACGTACATGTGTGCATGTGAACTTAACAATGCAATAGGAAGACAGACGCGCGATGAGAGTGGTGTGGCGCGGCTAGCTGTACGGCAGGGTATTTTGCGGTATGGAATACATCGGAGGTGTGGTATTAAATTGTGTAATACGCCTAGTTAGCTGGTATAGTCGTGGTCAAGTTTATAATCCGTGACGGGATAGCAAGCCCACTATATAATGCTAATTTATGTCATTGCTAATGCGTGATTAAGCTCTTGTGTGTTGCATTTGCACGTGGAGTCTATCTATAACCATTTGTTAAGAAATCTTCATTCTTAATTTAAATGATATTTTACTGCAGTATAAACACTTTTTTGTTACAACATCACAGCTACACAAACGAACGAACGAACGACGAACAATCAACCGTTTAATTGGGTGTCAAACATAACACAACATACAAACAACACACCCATGCATGTGTTGTGTTTAATTATATATTTATATAACAACACACCCGGCCGGTTGAGATGCAATCATAAACATACCATTAACCATACCATATGTCTGTATATGTGTATGTATATCCGTATACATATGTATGTATATCCGAATATATATATATATATGTATATATATGTATGAATGTATACATGTAACGTTCGTACATCGTTCGCATGAACGTCACACAACATGGTACTGTACTGTATAAGAAAGAAGAGGTCTCCCTCCTTTTTCTTCACTATCTCTACAGCTAGCTGCCCAGGACTATTCAGTGTGAGATATTGTAAGTAAAGATATGAAGCTAGGAAGAGAGAAAGTGAGAAACGAAGTGAGAGAGGGAGAGAGAAAGAGGAAAAAAGATAACGTCATTAACACGATTTAATATACGCGCGGTTGTTTGAAATGAATTTGTTTGTGTTTACGTGAGATGCACGTACACTAAGTGAATGTATGTGTGATTTGATGTGCGTGTATATATGTGTGCGTTGATGTGCGCGTACGTGCGTGCGTGCCGATGTATGCGATTTTTTGTACGTGGTGCT